GAGGATCAGCGGGGCTGCTGATACCTTACCAGTCTCGAGGGGCAGGCCCGCCGCCGCTCTCGCCAGCAAAAATCCGAGGGGGAAAGCCCTGTCGGGCCCTCAACCCCTCGGTCTCCTCCGCGCCGCTTTGCTGCTTTCGGGCCGACGCTCGCCGGCCTCGGTCCCCGAACCTCCGTAGTAATAGTCCGATGCCGTAACCTTAAGGGCTAAGCCCAAGCCTGGGGCTGAGTCCCGCAGAATACCATATAGGCAGTGCGGCGCGACGCTTTTGGGCCAACCAAACGGCTGCGCGGCTCCCATTTGCCCGCGCCGGTTTGCTTATACCATGCCATAACTACCCTGCGCGCCATCCTACGACACCCCGCTTACCGCACGAAATCACGCCGTTATTGCCGATGCCGTCGTCGGGGTCGTTTCTCCACACACGCGCTTGACCTACTAATCAAAAAGAAAATATCCTTAATCCCTGCTTAATAAAAAATAATAATATCACCAAACGAAACGACCGAGGTCTGGACCGACTTTACGATTACATAACAGAAAAAGAATCACGCGCGCCTTAAACCTGCGCGCCCACGCACTCGCTATTGCGGTCAACCACCCAGTCAAAGCAATTACTGACGCAACCGTACTTAGTGGGGTATACTTAAATTCTAAACCAAAACTATTTTCTGTCACTTGCAAAAACCAGGGCGGATACCCTTGTAAGGGTATTCGCACCGACAACTTACCGGACCATATTAAGCGACGTCCCCGTCGCTTCGCCAAATCTGAAAGCTATAAATCCATTCACACTCCAAATGCTAACAAAAGAAGTGAGCCAATCCGATTAGCCGACAAACACAGGGTAGAGGCCTCCATCCAACCATGCCTCCCCAACTATATGCTGTCAGGTTTTGAACCAAGGTCTCTACTACCCAGAAATTAAGACGCTGACAACATAAGTTCCAAAGACCTTCCCAATCGTCCTCTCCCGGGTCGTAGATAACCTTCGGCTTCTCATTGGGTGTCCCTAGTCTTGGCAAAAACTAGGGACGAGGGCCTTAACCGAGACCTTTGAAGGCACTCTCGCCTTCCTTCTCAAAATCTCTCGCAATCAAATTCATATAAGTATATGTGTAAACTTAGTATCCACTCCGCTCTTTCTGCAGTCTAGTACAGAAAGGCCAAGTCTCCATCTTGGCCCACCATAGCCTGGTTGATCGGACCAGGATTACGGCCCACCGCATTGTTATTTAATGGCAGTACCCTCGTTGGTTACACAACGATAGGGTTTCTCCTCATAAGCACTCAATCAGGACCTCCTAAAATCTCAACCTTCACTATCCCACGGAATAATTTCCCTAAGGCGGGTAACTCCCCTTAAACTCTTACCTTGCGGTCCCGCAACCAGGTTGCGCTGGTTAGCAGCCATCCAATGGGGTTACGCCCTAGAGGTACTAACTTCTTTTCCGTTAGGTTGACCTTCCTTCAATATGTCCCAGAACTAGCACAGGTGGTTAGACGGGGCGTCGCAAAACAAAATCACAGGCCCACTGCGCGATACGCAGGGGTCCGAAAGCATTTACCAACCCTCCTTCAATAGGCATGGCATCCTTCGCACGCTTACAAGCAAAATCACCGCTAAATCCACCAGGCCGTGACCCCTGACTTGATCAGAGCCAGCAGCTACCCACCCTCAGACATCTCTCGCCCTTTACTCATTGCGACTTTCTCAAACATTTCAAACAAAAAGTGGCCCTTTCTGTCAAACTTTATCATCCATCAAACAATTCGTCATGCCATAAATCAATTTACTCACTTCTGAGGATGAGTCTTCCAACCAAAAACCACTCCCCTTTTCCAACAATCCAAAAGGGGCTCTCTTCATAAACAAATCACCCCCTCTTCTATAAATCGCGAGGGGTCTCGCCATAAAATAATATATTCCCTCTTCCAGAAATCACGAGGGTCTCATCGTAAACCAAACACCCCCTCTCTCAAAGTCACGAGGGGTTTCGTTACATCACAAAACATCATA